CGGGATGGATGCGATTCCCGTGGAGCCCGCAGGCGGTGCTGACGATTCCGCTGGTGCAAGCTTAGCTCTCACACCATCAGCACTGCTGCAAGAAAGCACATCTCCCACCGCGTTGACACTACCCATCAATTGTCACACGTGCCGCGCTAGCTACCGGCCTGTACGGATGCAGGGGGGTCCCGCCCTTTTTCCGGCTTCGAGGAAGCCGACACCCGACTTGTCTGGGCATATCACGGGATCTGCATCCGCCGATCGGTAGCTTCCTGGAGTCGTGGCATAACACAGACCAGACAGACAGACGCCGGACCCCCAGAGAATGGTACCAGAGAATGGTAACAGCAGCAACAGGACTCAACGGGGGTCCGGCGCTTTGTTGTGTAAGACCAACAACAAAGCGCCGGACCCCCGTTGAGTCTTACACGTCCACATCGAGCTCCTCATCACTGGAATGACGGTCGCTCCAGCCAGGAACGCATCAGTCGGAGCAGCTCGCCAAGATAATGGAATGCGCCTGTGGCGACAGGACGAAGAGTATGCAATGATGTGAAGAGGTTCTTTGTTTGCAACTGAAGTTGCAAGTACAAGGAAAAGGGAAGGCGAGTGGAGGGAAGCGTAGGGCAGGGCGGCTGCAGCGCTTGTTGGTAATGGATGGCTGGGGAAAAGTACTGTAAGCAAGTGCTCCAGCACTTAAGTAAAATGCGGATTTCGGTTCTTGGTTGATGAGATGCGGGTCCCGTGCCGCCTGCAGCCAGAGAACCAACGGTCATCGGCCCTGCAATATTCGGTGTGAGCGTCGCTTTCGCTCTTACCTAGCCGTGCCGCGGGCTACGCAGTTTCAGGAGTATTCAGGAGTATATGCTGCGAAATTAGGTACGTCTGCACTCTGACCGTTTGCCGGGGACGCGCGGAATCACCGCCGTGACGCGCGGAATCACCGCCGGCGATTGTCAGGAGGGCTAACGACTGCGGATATGTTGCCCCATGATTTGCATCCTCGTTGGTGGCCTCGTGAACTGCATGCACGTCGCTGAACGCGGGGTCGTTGGACGCCCACGCGAACCGACTGGCAGGGCCGCTTACTATTTCCCTCTGTCGCATGTAAAAAAGGAGTAATTGTATTTATGCGTGTACCGTAGTCTTACTTATACGCGACGTTACAAACTGTGACGGGCCTGGCCGAGAGGGGTCTGACATTTCTTCGGTTTAAAAACGAATGGCGGCCAAAATATCCGAAAGTATGGTCCACATTTCTCCGTTACATTATGAATGGCGGTCGTCGCGGCCCACCGCGAGCAAAATCTGCCAACTTCACCTGCTTCACAGGCACCGTCCGACCTCTGGCACCGTCAGTCGGCGGTTTATTTCCTCCTTATCCATCTTGCAACATGTCAACAACTATATTTTTTGGACTTATACTATCTTCGTCGGTCCCATGACCTTTAATGGCAGATTAAGCCCGGAACCATCGTACATGGCTCCACATAAACTTGCACTGACAAACCGATGGCGACGCCCTAGGGCCAAAAGCTGGTCCGGATTTCTATACTTTTTGAATGGCGAAAATCGCCATTAGTTTGTAACGTCGCGTATAAGTAAGACTACGGTACGTGAAAATGGGTGAGGTGCTGGATGATTATGAGGCGCAAACGTTTTCTATGTTTACCGCCCTACCTAAGGAGCAGCAATTGAAAGGCCATGAAAATGTAACGTGATGCAATCCGCTCACGCCTATCTGCTCGCTACGCGTGGTTAAGAGCCAAGTTCCCGCAGCACGCCCCAAGGATTGCACAATTTCACGTGGAGTAGAGCAGCGGCTGGATGTGTGTGTGTATGTGTGTCTCAGCTTGTGTGTTCAGTATGCGTTGCAGAATCGACGGCGGCGCAGCTGACGCTGACTGTTACTTCAAAATGAAATTGCAGGCGAAGACGTTAAAGATTGGACGCGCTAAAGATGTTAAAAAGGTTGAAATTAATGAAAAGTTATTGTAGTAGCGGTCGGCAGGACTTTTTGAGATTCCTAGAAGGAATACCGCTCGATAAAAGATGAGATGAAGAGACGCACGGCCACTGCCCTAAACATCGGCGCCAGCGGAAAACTCATGGGTCGCCATCATACAATCCGTGATCTCATTGCGCCGTCCTGACGTGCCCAAATGTGCACCACTTAACTACTATATATGTATCGGCAGTCCCATAAGATAAAAGGGTAAGTCTCCCCAATAGTCACATGTAGACCCGGGGTCAAAACCCCTACCCAACAACTCACGAGTCAAAGTCCGGACCACATTCCCGTCATGACACCTCGGGACGTATCCCAACGTTCACACAAGGCCCATCGCATATCGGCAACGTTTAAATTTCACCTCGCCCAGAGCCTTCGTGAGCACATCCGCAACCATCCACTCCGTCGGGCAGTATTCCAACTGCACCTCACCGCTATTCACTCGCTCCCGTACTATGTGATGCTGTACGTCGATGTGCTTCGAACGAGCAGACTTAATCGGGTTGTTTCCTAAGCTAAGCGCCCCCTGGAAATCTATTTGAATCTTCATAGCGCTCGCAGGCAAACCCAAATCGACCATCAGCTTGCGAAGCCACAAAGCCTCGCGAACAGCTGCCGCTGTATGTACGAAGACGACCCATGAGTTTTCCGCTGGCGCCGATGTTTAGGGCGGTGACCGCGCTTATTTCTCTCTCTCACTTTCACCGAGCGGTATTCCTAATAGGAATCTCCAAAAGTCCTGCCGATCGCTACTTTAACAATTTACTCTTGTAACATCGTGCCCAATATCTTCGCCGCCGGCATTCCTCTTCCGGAATAACAGCGTCAGCTGCCACCGCCGTCGATTCTTCAACAGGTTATCAGCCCCGTCTAGCGCCGACAGCTATCGTCCGATTGTTATTTCTATCCCTTATCGACAATGGTCAAGGATAAGCTTGATGAGCCGCTGGACCTCCACAACTACTCCACGTGGCAAATCAGGTTTAGCGCGATGTGCATGGAGCTTGGGCTTGAGCAGGCTTTGCTCGCCGAGCCGTGCAACGAGGAGCAGATTCGTCAATCGCGGAAAGTCGTCAATCAATCAAGAACGTGAAGGACCATCACCTTCCAATGGTTACTGGTGCCGCCAACGCGAAGAAGGCTTGGGACGCCTTGGGTTCAGTGTTTGCTGCCAACAACAACGCCTGCAAGGTGGCTCTACACCCAGAATTCAGCCGTTTTAAGATGGTCGACGGTGAACCTCTTCCGATGTACTTTGCGCGTGCAAGGCAGCTGCAAACAGATTTATTGGGAGTCGGCCACGTAATTAACGACTCCGAGCTGGCGTACACCGTCCTAGTTGGTCTACCCAGTCGGTACAGCGTGGTGACGACTACATTACTAATGTGTGATGGCGATTTGGACATGGCGAACGTCACAGCAAAGCTTCTCTCTATCGAGACGGCTAACGGTGGGTCAGGCAAGCCTACCGAGTCGGCAGCCTTCACGTCTGTCGGTGTCTGTCGGCGGTTCGACGTTCGGTGCTTCTACTTCTGGTTATGGTAGCCGGGGACCGGCTAACAACAGCTCGGGACACAGTCGAAAGCAACTCATCTGCTACTACTGTAATAAGCCTGGGCACATGGTAAAGGACTGCAGGCAGCTTAAAGCGCTCAAGCAGTCGTCAAATTCCGGATATAAGGGTGGCTACAACAACAGTGGCAATGGAGCTAGTGGCAGCGGAGCTAGCGGCAGCAAACCAGGATCCGGTGGATTAGCTAAGGGGCCAGGAGTTCCACGGCAGGTAGCATTCGTGGCATACAACAGCGAGCGTCCGACGGAATGGTTTCTGGACTCAGGCGCCACTCACCACATAATGTATGACTGCTCAGAACTTTTCAACGTGCGGTTGTTGGAGCCATGGGAGCACTTCAACATCATGGGCATTAAGGGACAGTCTCTTCGGCCGACTGAAGTTGGCACGCTTATGATTCGGTCTAACGTCAACAATAAACAGGCCATCACTTTCAAGAAGGTCTACATCGATGAGGAGGCCACCGCCAAAATCCTATCGGTCCGCATCATTGATGATCGTGGAGGCAGTGTGGTCTTCAGTGGCGGACAGGTGAAAGTATGCGTACAGAACAAGTTGGTGCTGACTGGAAAGTGGGATGGGGACTTGTATCCCGTCTGCTACAGCAGTGGAGGTACGGGCGCTCTGAAGTGGATGCAGCGTGAAGACAACAGGATACCTTCTGGTGGTGATGCAGTGTGTGCTGCCATGGGTATCGGAGCTGAACATGCAGCACTTTGGCACCGACGGTATGGCCACTTGGGATACAGCAACCTTGAGGTGTTGCTACGTCATAATATGGTAACTGGATTCAATGTTGACCGACACAGCATACAATCAGCCAGCGTGTGTGTGTGTGAGACTTGCGTCCCCATACACGTGGTCCTTTTCCGCGAACAGGGCATAAAGCATCACAGCCACTAGCATTAGTCCACATGGATGTGTGTGGACCTATGCCTGAACCTAGTGGTTCGCATTATGTGACAACTCTGCTTGACAATCATACTGGTCTTTCAGCTGTTGTGTTTACAGTGACCAAGGAGGAGTTCTATTTGTTGGCTTAGACACGACGGAGTGAAGCGACCGGAGCTTCTAAGGCTGGTTCTGTGGTACTGTCGTACAACTGGTTCGCAGTGGCGACTTAATTCTCGCTGCTCTCCTGGTGAAGTCATTCTGCCTTCACGCAGAAGAGCATACAGCCTTGTCCAATTGTCAGTGTGACAGGCTGTACTTGAAGCCTTACCAATTCAAGTTCCGATCTACATCGCTTGAGTTCTTATGATTCCTACTTAGTTCATTTAAATGTCAACTATTAATGACAATGTGCCATCGACTGAGACTGTAGCCACCGTTCCAGGTGGGACCGGTGGTGGGTTGGGCGCCATTGGGTCCTCCCCGCCGGCCGGTGCTGCTAAGACGGGCGCTGCCGTTTTAGAAACAGTAGTGATGAATGCCTTAGAGAAGGTCTCTGAGAAGCACCGCCGGGACGACCGGGCCACTTTGGAGCAGGCAGATGAGCTGTGTGCGGATTTTATGGCCAATGAGCAGAAGGTGCCAAGAGATGTAATCGGTCACCGCCTGCAAGCCTTCACAGGCTTTCATCTCGGCCTTCAGCTCATTCACAGCTACCTTGATGCCGGCTGCTACGAGAAGGCCGCTGAGTGGACAGACCGGCTCCAACTTCGCGCCGAGATCGGTATGGAGGTGACACACCAGCTAGCCTCAGAGCCCCGCATAGGCCTGACAGCCACGGATCACTGTTTTAATAACATCATCGGCACACGTATTCCAAAAGGCGAGAAAGCGGAGGCCCTAGTGTGTAAACAGAAGGACTGGGCTCTGCGGACGGCAAGCGCCTCCACGCCTGGCAGTCATGGCGGCAGCCATTCTCATGGTGCCGGAGGCTCCGGCAGAGGCAGCGGTGGCGGATCGCGCGGCAGCAACCAAAGGGGTGGCGGCCAGCATGGAGGTCATGAGTACGGTGGAGGTCGCGATGCAGAGCGCTTTGATCGCAGCGATCGCAATGGCAATAGCCACAAGGAAGGCTGTAGCAGCAAGTAGTGGCTTTCAGATTCTGGTGCAGTAGAGTGGGGCCAGTTTGCCTGTCCTTTTTTCTTGGCCCGTGTGCCACCCTCTTCAATGACTACCGCCGGTCAGTGCAGTGTGCACAGGATTTTTTCCTTTCTTGGTTACGATGAGGTTGCCAGCGAACATCGACTTGGGCACCCACGCGTGCGAATTGAGGCGCCCGTGTGCGCGATAGTCGGCACCCACGTGCGCAGTTGTTGGCGCCCGTGTGCGCAGTTTTTTGGCGCCCGCGTGCACAGTTGTTGGCGCCTGTGTGCGCAGTTTTTTGGCGCCCGCATGTGCAGTCATTGGCACCCGCGAGCGCAGCTGTAAGCTTCGTTGACGACTTTCTTTTACTTGTGGTGTTTTGCCTTCCCGCTTTGTTCCTTTTATTGCTTTCGTTTTTTGCGGTTGTGAACAGACCGTCGCACGGGTTCACTTTGTGGCAGCGTTTGCAGTTTCTTCCTTTTCGGATGTTTCGCGTCAGGCCAAGTGGTCACTCAAGTCGCCTTGGCAGCCGGCCGGCTGGGGGGACCCGTTTTTTGCCTGTCTTACTCTTTAAGTGTTGCTCCACTTCTCGCCTCGCCTGTGTCTCCAACAGTCTGTCCGGTGCTCGCTTGCAGGCCTTCATAGCCGCCAGTAATTTCCAGCCTGAGGACCCATGGATTCGTTCTCGCACGACGATGCTATTGCCTTCCTGTCTGAGCTAGGGGTAGAGGCCCTCTCGAGTCCGGGCCTTGCAGAAAACGTCCAGCTGTCCGTCAGTCACAACGCCAGCCAATTCAAAGGGCAGCATCTCTTAGGTCAGCCGCGCGGCCCACCTACCGCATTCCCCGTAGACTTGCCAGCCCCAAAAAGGCCCGCACCGGGCCCCGTTCCTGCCCATCGGCCAAACCTGGACTCCGCACCAGTTCCAGCAAGTCTCGCCATGCATCAGAAACAACCAGCCCGCCCCGCGGTGGCGCCAGAAGGTGTGAAGGTTGAGACCCCGGGTGAATTCTGGGAAGATAAAGGGGAGTTTTCTAGTTCTACTTTTGACATCGCCTTGGGATCTCGGTCGTCTCCAGTAGCGGGTCTGCCTCCCGTGCCACCCCAGATGAGGGGACGCCTCTCGAGCAAGAAACGCGCTTGGAAGGCTTGGGTTGTGAACGCGCTGGTCATCTCGTGGATAACGTCGGGTTTCCCACTTCGTTGGGTCTCCAGCCCTCCCCCCCAGCACTCTGGCCGCAATCACGCTTCGGCAACCGCCAACGCCACGTTCGTGGACAAAGCCGTAGCAGATATAGTGGCGTCGGGCATGGCCCGTGTTTGGCCGTCGCAGCCCCGTGTGGTTTGCCCGTTGGGGGTTGTGCAGCAGGCAACTAAGCTCCGGCTTATTTGGGACGGCAGGCCGGTAAACGATTACTTGCACGTCCCTTCCTTCCGCTATGAAGACCTGAAGGCGGTTCCTGGTTGGCTACTCCCAGGCGATTATCTTTTCACATTGGACCTTAAAAGCGGCTATCATCACCTCGATATCGATCCCAGGTTCTGGGAATATCTCGGCTTCTGCTGGAGAGGGGTCTTTTATGTCTTCACACAACTGCCTTTCGGCCTCGCTTCCGCTTGCTGGGCGTTCACTTGCTGGGCGTTCACGAAGCTCATGCGAGAGGTCATGCACCCCTGGCGCAAATGCGGCTGGCGATGCTCGGGCTACATAGACGATCAGGTTCACGCAGACCAAAACGCCGACAGCTTGGTCCGGTGTAGGGCCGAAGTGGTTGCTCAGTTGGAGTCGCTCGGTTTCTTGGTCAATAAGGAGAAATCTATGCTGGGGGCCGTGCAGCATCGCATTCGTTACTTGGGCATGCTTATCGATACCAAGGACGGAGTTTTCATCGTGCCAGACAACAAGCGGGACCGCCTCTTATCTCAGATCAGCAGTGTGCTAACGGCGCGGTGCTCGACCCCCCGCCTATTGGCATCCATTAAAGGCCAACTCCTGGCCATGTCTTGGGCCCTCGGACCTTGGGCCCGGCTGCGCACCCGAGCTCTCGGCCAACTCGGCAGACCTGGGAAACCCATCTCTCCCTCTCTGACGACGCGCGGGAGGAGCTGTCTTTCTGGGAGTCGTCCTTTGATCGGTTTAACGGCAGACGGCACCTGTGGGTTATTGGAGAATTGGCGACGGTGACGGCTAACGCTGATTGTTATTCCGGAAGGATTGCCGGTGGCGAAGATATTTAGCACGATAAAATGTTACAAGTAATGTAAAGAGTATTGTTAGCGTTCGGCAGGACTTGAGGAGATTCCTGGTAGGAATACCGATCGTTGTGAGATAAACTAATAGGCGCAGTCACCGCCCTAAATACCGGCGCTAGCGGAAAACTCGTACATTCCGCGATCTAACTGCACGTACATTCCGCGATCTCACTGCGCCGTCCAGACGGTGCCCTAATGTCTATCACTTAGCTACCGGATATGCATCGGTAGCCCCATAAGGTTCTGGGGTAAGTCTTCCCCATTAGTCAGGCGCAGACCCGGGGTCAAATCCCCTGGTCGACAACCACACGAGTTGGGAGAGGACCGTTTCCTCAACACGCCCCCTCGGGCCGTATCCCAACGAGTACCAAGTTCATCTGCACATCTCACACAAGGCCCATAGCATCTCGGCAACGTTTGAACTTCACCTCGCCCAGAGCCTTCGTTAGCACATCCGCTACCATCCACTCTGTAGGGCAGTATTCCAACTGCACCTCACCGCTATTCACCCTCTCACGCACTATGTGATGCTGCACGTCGATGTGCTTCGACCGAGCAGACGTAATCGGGTTGTTTCCCAAGCTAAGCGCCCCCTGGGAGTCTATCTGGATTTTCACCGCGCTCTCAGGCAAGCCCAAATCAACCATCAGCTTGCGAAGCCACAAAGCCTCACGAACAGCCGCCGCTGTAGCTTGGTACTCAGCCTCCACCGACG